TTGGGGGGGCGGGGGGCGGCGAAGGAAGTCCTGGGTTCGAAACGCCGCCGCTTGGGGCGCCCCTCCGGTCCCTGCAACTTTGCGAAAAGGAGAGAAGTTTCCGGTGGCTGCTGGTGCGGAAGAGGAGCCGGAGAAGACCCCGAGCGAGTTGGCTGCTAAGGGAGAACAATCCTTTCCCCAGCTCCGGCCGCCTCTCCTGCGGGGATCCAACGTAGCCTTCCCCAACCTGGAGCCCTTCGGATGAGTAATTCCCAGCTGGAGGGAGGATTCTGGGAGCCGAAGCCCAGCCCATCTGGAGGGCGCCGGGTTGCAGGAGCGGTTTGCAAACGCTGCCTTCTCGGAGGCTGATGCGAAACAGCCTGGGGGCATCAGAGAGCTCTTCGGCATGATTATGGTGAAAATAGGAATCTTGCCTCGCCTCGCCTCCCCGGAAAATCTAAAACGATACAGGAGTGGATGGGATTACTTAATTAACCCACTTTTGGGGGTCTCAACCACCTATTATTTGGCTGAGTTCACCCAACACCCTGGGCTCAAATGGGGGTTCACCTTGATTTCACATGTGGTGTGAACTCAGCCAATCAGCCATGGCTTATGACTTTGCCCATAAGCTTATGACTTTGAACCTGGACAGTAAAACATAGCTAGGTTTGGACTTAATATACTGCATCAGTCCAGCCAATGTAGTTGGTAAATTACGGTTTGATATGGCATGTGGTAGATTCTTTAGTAAACCACAATTAAGCAAACTCCGACTTAGCATTGCATGAAGGTGTCCAAAGCTGAAGGTTTGTATACAGTAATTTCTGTCCTATGACACACTTTGTCAATTTCAGTCATACTGAAAGTTGGGGAAAGTTGCTTATGGACATCAGGTTAATTTCTAGTATCAAACATGCCCGCCGTGTTTATACTATAAAAAACATTCTTAGATGCCAAACGAGGCACAGAGCCAACCCTCCCCCATTCTGTCTTCCAGCTGTGTTGCTTTAAAGTTGTGGCATTTTGAATACCCTTGGGGAGAAAAACCATGCACCCGCCCGCATAACTAACCGTGACTTTCTCCTTTGCAAGGATCATGACTCCATTTCTGTTTCAAACCAGCATGGCAAGTTTTAGAAATAAAGCAAAAAAATATTTAGGGGGAGGAAAAAAAAACATGGTATCACTCTCTCTAAGGCATGCTGATTGGAGATACCATGTTCACAACAACCTTAATCCAGGATGTTAGTGGCTGATGCAAAGTTGGTTTTAACAGATTCTCAAACCAACCCAAGACTGGTCTCCAGATCCTTCTCCACCTCCAAGCTGAAATGCTGTCTGTTCATTCTTGAGCTGGCCAAAAACGACACCAGCCTGAAACTGATGCTCCACATTGCTGATCCTTATCCTGCCCTTTTGCCTCTGTTCCCAGTCACTGCACTCCCCTCTTCTCTCCAAGATAACAAAGATGTCACACACCTTGGGTGGTGGCAGAGTAAGGAGGAAAATATTATTTCAACCCTGGTGTTGCTAACGATCGCTTAAACTAGTTCTTACTCATGGAGTGGTTCTGGCAGCACGGCAGAGATAACATCGTGGAGACATGGCAGGGGAGAAGAAAAAACACGAGCAAAGTATGTTTGCGCCATGGCTGCAAACAAGCAGAGATGCAGCCTTAAACGAAGACAATGGAAATGTTACTCTGGGCCCGATCAGCTCAGGAGAAAGTTTATTTTTTTCTTTTGCCTTATAAAATGGTAAACTCCCCACCACCGCTTTGTGAAGCATCGTCCAAGGGCAGTTCCCAGTTGGGGAAATGATTGCATTACGTGATTGCATGACGTCCTTTATCAATATAGGGCAGAGAAATAACCCGGCTGCAGCACACTCAGCAGTGATCTTTCAGGACCTAGTTGACATCAGCCAAGGAGACTCAAAGCTCTGAGACCCTCCTTTTTGCTGGCTGTTGCCATTTGCCCCTCTGGAACAGTCTCTGATGCTGTTGGCAATTTTAATTCGAATGAAATGCAAGGGCCGTCCTTCAGGACGCTTAGCAGTTATTTGCAGCTTCCACCTCTGCCGTTTTATAGTTAGATCTACTATGTTGTCTGAGCTACACCATATCATACTGCAACATTGATGCATCGTGTGGGGCATCCTGCTGTTACGTATTGTGTCTGATCAAGAGCAATTTTGAACAAGCAAAAACGGCTGTAGAATGATGTTTCATTTTCTAATATTCCTATAACCCGAGAGGAACTCAGAAAAGTCAACCCAACTTGACTTTTAAATTGGTGTGTGGCGGCTGATGGGGAAGTTGATGAACGTAGCAAACAAGAGAAGTGGAACCTTCAGAAACGTGGGATAGTGTAGAAAATTGCACAAATTAGTTAAGAATAGAGGATCATAGCACTGTGTTTCTTACAAACCTGTTTGAATTGCCTCCCCCAAGGGCCTCATAGCAAACTGATGAGCACGTTCATTTTCTGTTACTTTTTTTTGACTCTGGTACAGTTATTCTGTTATTAATATATGCTAGCTGTTTCCTCTCACTTGGCCTTCTGCAGTAGCAGAAGTGCGTTCTGAACTTTAAGAGTTCTTCCTGTCAAGGTATCACCTATCTGAAAGGCTTTTCGACCCAATGCAAGAGCACTGAAATGCCCCATGAGAAGTTAGCACCCAGGAAACAACCTGAAAAGGCGCACAGTTGTTCCCATGATAACAAATGGGGTTCTGTGTTTCTATTTAGGACAGAGATGTGCAGCAGTTCTCAGGAAAAAGGACATACTTCGGCTGGGATTGCACTCTCAAACTGGGCTGGATTAGCAAAAATGAAATTGGATTAATTTGAATTGTACCTTTATTTCACTCAGTTTACTCCCCCATGGATTCAGTGCCTCGTTCTGTCATATTAAGAATTATGCTTTGGCATCAACTCTGGGAAGGGTGCTCTGAGGGCCCTGCTCAGGATTCTGGAGTATCACAAGGAAGCTGGGGGCATTTTTAAATTCACTATTGCTAAATTTGCATCTGTAGCTCTAGATTAGTTATATGCAACCTATATTCTCTCTTGTCCTCTTGTTTGGATTTTTGCATTTTCCATCTTGGGAGGGGTGGTGCATTAATACAGGCCTGGTCAAAGCCAACTGAGTGTGTTCCATACAATGTCCCAGGATTCGGGATTTATAATTTAATAGTTTCCATTGTTGACATGCAGGATCTGTTCCAAAGCAAAACAAGTTTCTTTCTAGTTTGAATGTCTGGTGGGGGGAAAAAAGATCTTCAGTAGTCCTCCCCAAAGTGAAGTATTCATTCGGTGTTAAAAGCTTTCTTCATATTTGCTGACGCACGATGAACGAAAGGTTTATAGATTACTTTTACTGGCGATATGACTATTCTCCATTTCACAGCTTTATATCTATGTTGGATAGAGGATCTATTCCCCATCTTAGTGAGGAATATTTTTTTTCCTCTTTCCCTCTTTCAATGTCACCTTGGCCAGCCCAGAACTGGTTCTTCCAAGGTTTAAATTAGCTGTCTGTTACAGCTGCTCAACCCTGTCAAATCCTGGAGATGGCTGTATTGTAGCAAAATTATTTGCCTGCTTAGAGATTATCTATTTCAAGAGTGGAAAGCTAAAGATGGTCCTTTAAGGGGCATACCTTGCTTCAGAGCTGGCTTTGATGGCTGGTGGCTATTAGCTGACAAATATACCTGACACACTTAACTCAGAGCCTGAAGAAAAAGGTTTGGTTCTCTAATGTGAGTGGTTGGTTCAGAGTATTAATTGCACGAACCCAACTGCACCCACTTGTAAATCATGGTTCTCTGCTGAGCATGTTGTTGAACCTTGCTAAATGTGTGTGATTTAATGAAGATGGTTGAGCACACTGCGGCTTAGGAGCATGTGTGAAGTTAATCATCTGTGCTTTCTTGGAAACAGATGAAGACTCTAAGACCACCATCATTGATAAATTGTATGAAGAGCTCTCTTTGAGTACAAGAGATCTCTGGCTCGCAGACGTGCAAAGCTAAACACGGACATCTGCCCTGATACACAGCCATGTGTTCATTAGGGGGGAAGGTGGCAGAGAATTCAAGAGGATGAGAAAATGCAGAGAAAAGCCATGGGGTACTCGGCACGGATCCCCATTGTAGAGAAAGAGATGGGTGAGCTATGAAATGTTGCCAGTGATGTCATATTCTATCATGATTATGATGTCCTTATCAGTACCACTATCTCCGGATGTATGTATGTATTTATGTATAGTCAGAGGATTTTTTTCACAGAACGATTTAAAAATATCTAGAATGCCTTTCAGCACAATTGAGTTGGAAGTCTTATTTCATAGGCTCGGTTTTGATTTGTGTTATTCCGCAGTTTGTTTAACCATGACTAAACCAGAATTGGTTGGACTTGCATACCTCACTAGGCCATAAGTCATGGTTCACAAACTATAGTGGCTAGATTCACATAACATGGGAAGTTGAAACCAAATATCTAGGTCTCAGGAATCCACAGGGGGGAAGTCAAACAGGTCAAGATGGGGCCACAACCATGGGATTGAAGCCCTGCCTCCTTTTTACATGCACTGCCATCTTAACTTCTTTTATTCCCTCCTATTGGCACCCCTGATCCAGGTTATGGCTTAACTTGTTTTATGAGCCAGGCCAGAATGCATCCATGATATTTTGGTGGTGAGCTCCCTGAGAAGAAAGGGCCTGGCTTATCCTGGTTAGCC